AGGATCATGGAGTAAATATAAATAATCTTGGACTTAACCTACAATCAGGGATAAAAGAATGATGGGGGTGGGTAAGAGTTGTTCCTTATTACTCAGCAAGAATCAGAGCAAACTGCTTATCTTGCTTAAAAATGAAAGGGTATCTATCCTGCCAACTTCTTAAAGCTGTATAGCCAGGCCCTGGGCTACATGCTTTAGATGGACTATTTTATTCAGTCCTCAAAATATCTCATTATCCAGCAACTATCTATCCCAATTTTGCAGATGAATAAACAAACTGGTAGGTTAAGTATCTTGCCTGAGGTCACATGCTACTAAGTCATGGACTGCAGGATCAAATCCAGGTCTGTTTGATGCCAAAGTGTACTTTTAACAATAGTGATTTATTAGCTCAATAGTAAGTAAAGATAGTGCTGGTTTTTTTCCTAATTAACTAACTTGTGCTCTGAAAGACAAGCAAAAAAGCAATAAATTGAGATATAATCAGTAATTTTGGAACTTTGAGCAAAACATCTTTTAAAATTAGTAACTTGCTTTTAATTGAGACTTACCTTTTGCTTCATTTTCATCAGAAATAGCTACTATCTGAGAGCTAGAAGTATCTCCATTGCAAACAATCTTATCTTTTCTCAATTCTATACATGCTGTTGTATTCCTAGATCCTTCAAGTTCATTCTCAATATTACAAGTATTTGAATTATTATTTCTCCATTCTAATTTGCTCTCAGAGAAATTTTGCTGCTTCTCATTTTCTTCCATTGAAGACTCTCCTGTGTTTCCAGTCTCATTATGGTCTACACTTGTATCTTGAGTTTCTTCTGTATCACTCTCAGTTTTGTCATCTGCAGCATTTTGGCTATGATCCTTTGCCTGGGAAATCTTCCTTCGCTTTGCTATGGTGCCTAAGTACCATTTCGACTTCTTGCGAATTCTTCTCTTCAACTGAGCTTCAAAGAATTTAAAGAAAAATGATGAAAGAATATTTGACAATTTTCTAAATTCTAAGAAAGATGGAAAAAACCCCCTGAAATATGAGAGGATAAAGAGTTTCAGAAACCACAGTATGGCTGGAATACAGAAGTAGACAGAAAAAAGTGGAGAAGTGGGCAAGGCCTAGATCACAAAAGGACCTGTCATTCTAAGGAGTTTAGACTTTATCATGAATAACTTTTTTAAAGTATTAAATAATTTTAAGGAGGGTAATGACATGATCTGTCTGATGCATAATTTAGGAAGATCCCTTTGGCAGCAGTATGAGAAATTAACAAGAAGAATGGCAAGACTTAAAATAGCCTACACTTATTATTGAGTGCTTACCATATACCACGAACTACACGTAAATCACACTGCAGTAGTACTAGGGAGAGGGGTAAAACCTAGGTAGCAGAAATGACAACAGGAGAATGGAGAACAGATTTGAAAGACATTAAGGAAGGAACTAACTTACATTCATTTCAAGAATGCAAAGCTGTCTTAATACTCGCAAAATCAATGTAATTAACTGCATTAATATAAATAAGGTAAACTGAGGAAGAAAAAAATGGCATTAGAAGAGAATAAAGGTTACAATTTCAAAAGTGAAATTACCCAAGTACTTACTAGGAGTGCTGCAAGCCATGGGAGTACTGGGAGTCTTTAGCTTTTCATTCTGCTCTGGATCTGATCTTTTATCACCAGCAAGGGTGGAATTTTGCTTTGGCATCACATGGTAGTAAGATGGGGCATATTTGGAGGAGCTACAACCTTATAAGTAGACATGTGGAATGTCAAAAAGGATTTCAAGATTTCAAAACCACATGAAGGACTAATTAAAAGAACTCAATACCTGACATCTGAAGCATCTTTTTCTGATGCCAAATCATTTTCCTACCTCTTTTCTTTCTAGATTCCTGAATTTCTTCACAAAGTTGCTCAAAGTCCTCATCAAGTTCTTCTTTAATTATTGCATAGGCAGTATCTCTTAAAGCACAGGCTCTATGCCTAATAAGACGATCTGAGAAATGAGTAAAAAAAAAAAATAATTCTTAATTTCCCCCTTTTAATAAGTTACCAAAAAATAAACTCAATGTATTGGGCTAAGATAGTAGTTATTACAATTCCTTTTTACTTTTACTGTGAATAGTAAAAGTTACTAGAATTGTGTTAGTTTGTTTTTGGTGCTTATCTAATGTTTTGGACATCTGATTCAATATGGCAGAGTAAACCCAAACAATGTTATTGTTCTGTCCTATTCAGGTCCCTTAGAAATATCAGAAAAAAGTAAGAATCAATCAATACCAAGACTAAACAACAACAACAACAAAAAGGGAAGGCTATTAGTGTCATTAGAGAAGCAGGAATGTGAAAGAATTTTGGAAGAGATACAGAGGATATTACTGTATTGACAGAGAAACTAAACAAAGACGAAACAGCAACCATAAATCCTAAGCTCAGAGTATAAGTGCTGCAAACTGAAATATGCTGTGAGGCAAAATGCAGGTATAATAAATGAAGGCAAGATCCCTTGAACTGCCAGATTTAGGGCAAGAGGCTTCAATACTCACTCCCAGGTTATGGCTGACATGAATAACTACAACATTGTATGGGATGTTACAGGGGACTTCTAACATGGCATTTGGGCCTGAAGAAAGGCAGGACAAAGTCTAAGCAGTGGCTCCCAAAGTGTGGTTCCTGGGCCCAGCAGCATCAGTATCATCTGAGAACTTGCTAGAAATGCAAATCCTCAGGCCCCATACCCTTTACCTACAGAATCAGAAACCCTAGAGATGGGGCCCAGTGATCTGTATCTTAAAAAGTCCTTTAGGCAATTTTTTTGTGTGTGTGTGTGACCGGTAAGGGGATTGCAACCCTTGGCTTGGTGTCACCGGCACTGCACTCAGCCAGTGAGCGCACCGGCCATCCCTATATGGGATCCGAACTTGCGGCGGGAGCGCCGCTGTGCTCCCAGCATTGCACTCTCTCGAGTGTGCCACGGGGCGGGCCCCTTTAGGCGATTCTGATGCCTACTAAAGTTTGAACACTACTGGTCTAAAGTAATTTTACATTGCCACAATAAACAGAAAGAAAAGCAACAGCAGCAGCATGACTGCACTGGAACAGAAAAGGCCCTCTGTCTCCAGGGTAACTGTTTCCTTCTTCCTACAATTAAGGGGTGTTCCCAGCTTGCTAGCTTGTTTCCCACTACTTACCTCCAGACCGCTGAACTACAGGGAAAAGCCTAGGAAGGAGACTGGTGAGCTTTTCAATTGTTGAAGCAACTCCCAGAAGTTCCCTATGCTAATCAATCTAATTTATAAGCACCACCAATTTAAAAACAGAAAGCCAATGTAATGGAGAATTAATGCAGGAAACAGAACTATTTAAAAAATGTATTTTGGGGCCGGCCCAGTGGTGCACTCGGGAGAGTGAGGCACTGGGAGCGCAGCAGCGCTCCTGCCGTGGTTCGGATCCTATATAGGGATGGCCAGTGCGCTCACTGGCTGAGTGCAGTGCAGGCGACACCAAGCCAAGGGTTGCAATCCCCTTACCGGTCACAAAAAAAGACAAAAAAAAAAAAATGTATTTTTTATCCACTGAGAGAGTTAAGAACTCTGCATCCATAAAACAATAATAGGAAGCTAGGAAAAAAGAAGCACCTGAGAAAACATTTCTTAGAAATGAAGTTGCAGTAAAAGACATCGTTAAAGATCCTTTACTTTATAAACTTTTATTTGTTAATAGAGGAGGTAGGTGAGACTAGAAAGGGCATACACATACAAAAAGGTCTGGAAAGATATCCCCAAACTTAAGTGTCCACCTTTGAAGAAAGAAAATGGGGGACTTAGATTTTTAAAATATTACTATTAGTAACTATTATACTATATTATTTTTGTAATATAAACTGTAATGTTGGGCCGGCCCAGTGGCGCACTGGATAGTGCGCCGCTTGGGAAGCGCGGCGGCGCTCCCGCCGAGGGTTCGGATCCCACATACAGACCGGTTCATTTAATACAACAGAAGGTTAGTATACAAAAAAAATTTTTTTTTTAAAAAAGATGATTGGTAAGGGGATCTTAACCCTTGACTTGGTGTTGTCAGACCCACGCTCTCCCAAGTGAGCTAACTGGCCATCCCTATATAGGGATCCGAACCCATGGCCTTGGTGTTATCAGCACCACACTCTCCCAAGTGAGCCACAGGCCAGCCCTATTATACACATATTTTTAAAAATTGTATAAGATAAAGAAATCATTTTTTAAAACAAGTCTTTTAAGTATGCTGGATTTATGTATAAACCATGTATGCAATATATTAGAAACTAAAAAACATGGGATCTTGGGCCGGCCCAGTGGCGCACTGCTACAGTGCGCCGCTTGGGAGCGCGGTGGCGCTCCCGCCGAGGGTTCGGATCCCACATACAGACTGGTTCCCGCTCACTGGCTGAGCGAGGTGCGGGTGCGACACCGAGGGTTGCGATCCCGTTGCCGGTCCCGGTCTGGTACGGGCGGGACACTGAGGGTTGCGATCCGTTGCCGGACACGAAAAAAGACAAAAAAAAGGAAGAAAAAAAAAAAAAAATGGGATCACTTTTAAAACTCAAGAATCCAAACTTCAATTAATATAGTAACCAACACGATAATATTTTATTTAAAAGGTTTGTTGAGATCAAGTAATTCACTTTCACAAGCCAAAGTGAGATGTGAAATATGAGAATGAGTGGTTGTTCAATAAAAATAAACAAGTGTTGACAAGGATATGGAGAAATTTGGAAGCCTTGTGGTTTGCTGGTAGGAATGTAAAATGGTGCAGCCACCGTGGAAAACAGTATGGTGGTTTCTCAAAAAGTTAAACATAGAGTCAGTAACATGACCCAGCAATTCTATTTCTAGGTATATATCCAAAAGAACTGAAAACAAATACTCAAACAGGCACTTGCACACCAATAATCATAGCAGTACTATTCACAAAAGCCAGTAGGTGAAGAACGACCCAAATGTCCAACACCAGAAGAATGGATAGACAAAATGTGGTATATACATATAATGAAATATTATTCAGCCTAAAAAAGAATAACATCTGAACACATTGTACATGAGTGAAACTTGAAGATATTATGTTAAGTGCAATAAGATAGACACACAAAAACAAATATTTTATGATTCTACTTATATGAGGTACCTAGAATAGGTAAATTCAGACGCAAAGGGAGTTATTGTTTAATAGGTATAGAAATTCTGCTTGTGATAAAAAAGTTCTGGAAATAGAGAGTGGTGATGATTGATCAACATTGTGAATGTACTTAATGCCACTAAATGGCATGCTTAAAAATGATAAATTCTGTTATGTATATTTTACTGCAAAAAAAATTAAATAAAATAAAGCAAAACAGATTCCAAAAGGATGTTTCAAGACAAACTTCTAGAACTTTCCCAGTATAATTATTATTATTATTTATTATTGGATAATGTTCATAACCAGTATATTTCTTGTGTACTTTGTTTAGGGTGTCTTTGATGTAGAGAAGTTCACATTTACGACTTTTTTTTTTTTTTTTTTTGTCTTTTGTCTTTTTCCATGTCCGGCAACGGATCACAACCCTCAGTGTTGCCCCCGTACCGGACCGGGGACCGGCAATGGGACCGCAACCCTCGGCGTTGCTCCCGCGCCTCACTCAGCCAGTGAGCGGGAACCGGTCTGTATGTGGGATCCGAACCCTCGGGCGGGAGCGCCGCCGCGCTTCCCAAGCAGCGCACTATCCAGTGCACCACCGGGCCGGCCCCCACATTTACGACTTTTGCATTTCCTGACTTGCACAGTTTTCTATGCTCCAAGATTATTGCTATGGTTGGAATATTTGTGTCCCCCTGAAAATTCACATTGAAACTTAATTCTCAATACAACAGTATCAAGAGGTGGGGACCTTTAGGAGATAATTAGGCCATGAGAGATCTACCCTCATGAATAGGATTAGTTTCCTATAAAAGGGCTGGCAGGAACTAGGGAAGCCCCTTCTTGCCCTTGCACCATTTGAAGACAGTGTTCGTCACTTCTGCCATGAGAGGACACAGCAACAAGGCACTATCTTGGAAGCAGAGAGCAGCCCTCACCAGACACAGAACCTGCTGGTGCCTTGATCTTGAACTTCTCAGCCCCCAGAACTGTGAGAAATACATTTCCACTGTTTATAAATTACCCAGTCTAAGGTATTTTGTTATAGTAGCATAAATAAACTAAGACACTTATGAAAATGTTTTTCTCTAGTACTTTTTGATATAAAAAATTTCCTCCTGTTGTTCCAATATCATTTAAGAAATGACTATATTTCTGCTAATTCATTTACTAAATAACAGTGTATACAAAGGTCTACTAATGCACTGTATAATCCATTAATTTATCCATTCTGGCTCAAATTCCAGTTTTAATTACTGTAGCTTTATGGTATGCTTTGATATTTTGTGGACCAAGAATCTCATTGTTTTTTTCAAAATTTTCTTAGAAATTCAAGTACCTTTTTCTTCTACTTTAAATTTTAGAACCCACTTACATTTTCTTGGAATCTTTTATTGGAATTTGTACCTTTCCCCCTCCTTCTGCTGGCCTGGAAGTTACATGTTGTATTTCTATTCTTCTGGTGTTACAAGTTTTTTTTTTTCTTCTTCTTTTTTTGTCTTTTTTCGTGACCGGTAACGGGATCACCACCCTCAGTGTCGCGCCCGTACCGCGACTGGCAACGGGATCGCAACCCTCGGTGTCGCACCCGCACCGCACTCAACTAGTGAGCGGACCGGTCTCTATATATGGGATCCGAACCCTCTGCACTCTACCAAGTGTGCCACCGAGCCGGCCCAAGTGTTAAAAGTTTTAATAGACATACTTAAGCTTCTTTTTCTACCAAAGTCTAAAGTTAATCAGTATCCACATGGACAAAAATCTGAATATGCTTTCACTTCTCTCCTCTCCACTTCACTATGCCCTTCCTGCTACTTCAAGTTCAGACCAACTTAGTTTCACATTCCTTTAAAAAAAAAACACAAAAATCCTAACACAATTTTGTAATTATAAGCTTTACCGTCTTCTTTGATCATTGCTTCTTGTATACTACTTCTACAAAATAAAAAACCCAAAAGGAGAAATAATTCTTTAATAATCCTTCCAGTCACGGGTTTATGGGTTTAGGGTTTATGGATTTCTTAGACATTGTATATTCAAAAATATCTTTATTTTGCCCTCTCATTCAAATGCTAACTTGGTTGGGCAAAAAATTATAGGTTGATATTCTTTTTCTTCAGAACTGTGAAAATATTGCTTCATTGTCTCCTTAGTAGCCAGTGTTACCAATGAGAATGTAGAAACATTTTATTTTCCATCCTTTGTAGTAATGTTTTTTCTTTTGGAAGATTTTTAGATTTTTCTCTATACCTTTGGCCTTGCCAAAGGTGTGGGCCCTTTTGTACCCATCATACAACACAGAGACCTTTTAAATCTGAAGACTTATGGTATTTAACTCTACAAAATGTTCTTCTATTGTGTGAGTATTTTCTCTCCTACATTTCTTGTGTTCACCTCCCATAAATCCCATTAAATAGATATTAGACCTCAATCTATCTCCTTCATTTCTTTTAACTTTTTCTTCATACTTTTCAAGTCTTTGTACTTGTATTACACACAGTAAGAATTACTGGTTTCATAATCTCCTGTCTTGCTAATTTACTTATTTGTGTCTCCTCCTTTTCAGCTCTAGGGTTTTTTCTCCCCCTTTTAGGGAGATTATTTCATTTATAATGTCTCCAATTGGTTCTTTGTCACAAATGTCTGTTTGTGATACATGGATATGATTATCCATGGGGTTATCCTTTCTCAAATGCTTTATATGTTCTTTTTTGCCTTTGAAATCTAATTGTCCCTAGAGGCTTTTTCTGTTTATTCTTGCTTCCACCTTCAGTGATTATGGAAGAAGCTAGCCTATACTGGAAACAGAATGTGCCTGTAACTTGCCTTCTGGGCACAGGGTCTGCCCATTTCTCCTGGTATCAGCAGCCATATATAAGGCACTGCCGCTTTGCTGTACTAGTCCTACAGCCCAACCTCACAGCTCACCCTGCTGACTGCTCCTTGGTATAGGAGCTGAAAGTGAAAAAAAACCAATTATCTCAGAGTTGTCCAAGGGCTCTTTCAACTCCTAGCACTGACCCAGAGCTAGAAACCGCTTTGCTGTACTAGTCCTACAGCCCAACCTCACAGCTCACCCTGCTGACTGCTCCTTGGTATAGGAGCTGAAAGTGAAAAAAAAACAATTATCTCAGAGTTGTCCAAGGGCTCTTTCAACTCCTAGCACTGACCCAGAGCTAGAAACCACTTCCACATTTCAAAGTAGTCCTTTCATGCACATGCTCTGAACTGTGGTTAGCTTTATCAGTCTAATCCCCACTGCTCTATCTTTTATGGATTTATAAAAATTTCTAATTCACTGATGGCATTCCTTCTCATCTTTCCATAATGCTCTTAGTTATTAGGGTCCACTTATGTTCACGCATAGAAATAGCCATTTTCTGACGGCAGTTTTGAGATGGACAAACTTTGATGTAGTTAATAATGGAACGCAGGGCATCCCTCATATATTATATAGTCCAATGCTATATAGACAGTATCCCTGAATCACTGAAAATTATTTAAGAGGGATGGATGGTTGGTTAGCTCAGTTGGTTAGAGCATGGTGCTGATAAAACCAAGGTCCAGGGTTCAATCCCTATACCGGTCAGCTGCCAAAAAATAAAAAAATAAAAACAAAAACTATATGAGACTCCAGGTGGACTCACTTATTTGCATCCATACAAAGTAGATGATTCATTTATAAAAATTAGCAATTACAGCTGGTCTAGGTACAGTGGTGTTTACAACCAATTGATCATAACCAGTTACAGATTTCTTTCTTTTTTCTCTACTCCCATTGCCTCACTTGACTGGTCTTTAAAAAAAAAAAAGCAATTCCCAGTCCTGTACCTATTCCCCCCACTGTACAGTGTAGGGTAATGGGACACTTTACCCAGTTTACAATTGTATGCTTAGGAAATACTGCCCTAAGAAAAAAAAGAAGCTATCCTTTAAGAAAAGATCTTTTAGTACAGAATTCCTATATTCTCAATAAAGTTTCTCCAGATAAAAATGATTATATTTTTCAATCCCTCTTCATCCATATAAAGAAAGTTCAGCTAGTTTGTTTTACTTGTTACGAATAGTATAAACTCATTATCTTTATTCCAAACTTCAAAATGATTAACAAAGTATTAACTGACAGTAAGCACAATAAGCCAATGTTATAATATGGCTACTAAATAGTAATTCTTCTTTACTCTGTGTTAATCAGAACATTGCTACAGTACTTCACTCATTCTGCTGTGGTCTTTAAAAAGAAACAGAAAAAATATTCAGTAGAGTGACTAGAATTTTGAAGAAATTTCAAATAGGTGTAATGTGTAGCAGAGCTCGTTATTAACCCACTCCATGTCCTCTTTATTTGGCACAATGCTATCTCGTATTTCCTAGCCTCCCTTGCAGTGACATATGGCTATGTAACTGAGTTTTAGCCAAAAGAATGTGAGAAGAAATGATACACAGCACTTCCAGATCAGACGCACGCAAGGGCCAATTCTTTCAGCTGGCTGGAATGAAAGCAACCTTGAAAGTGACATGATGAAAAGGAGTGCTGTGGTCTAAATGTATGTGCCCTCCAAAGCTCATGTGGGAGCTTGATTCCCAATGTGGGAAGTGTTGAAAGATGGGGCCTTTAAGAGGTGATTAAATTATATGGACTACGTTCTCATGAATGGATTAATCCACTAAGAGAGTAATGGGTTATTGGTTTAATAGGTTATCATGGGTATGGATTGGCTGTATAATGAGAGCACATGAAAGTGCTATAGCCGTTTTTGCCATGTGATACCCTGTATCGCCTTGGGACTCTGTGAGAGCCCCCATGAAGAAGAAGGCCCTCACCTGATGTGTCCCCTGAACATCAGACTTCTCAGCCTACAAAACTGTAAAAAATAAATTTCTTTTTTTTTGTAAACTGCCCAGCTTCAGGCATTATGTTATAAGTGACAGAAAACAGACTAGCACAATAAGAAAGTCTCTCTCAGCCTGAATGTCTGAATGACTGCATGGTGAAGGGTAGACCCACCTGTCTAGTCACCTGCCTAGTATTGTTAACTGTGTTAAGACATAAACTTCTATTTCATTAATAACCCTAATGAACACATCATATCATACAAGAAATGATTAATTAGTATGAAGAAGCCTGGCTCAGAGTACAGAGATAGAAAGGAACATTATATTATGTATATATCATATATATATATATATATGTATATATGTAAATAAATATATATATATATATGTAAATAAATACATATTAGTATGAAGAAGCCTGGCTCAGAGTACAGAGATAGAAAGGAACATTATATTATGTATATATCATATATATATATATATGTATATATGTAAATAAATATATATATATATATGTAAATAAATACATCAAATATACAAAGAGTTGTCATGATCAAGACATACTAGACCTGTTCCATATGCTATCTGGGAAACAAATAGAGATTAAAAAATGGAAGCCTCTCAAAATAAGTTGGATTTTTAGGAATCAGAGCTAACAAGCAGAACTGCAGAAAATGTTTCAAGGTGGGATATCCACATAAAGGAGAGACTGTAAGGGAGAGTCCTGAACTAGATAATTAACTAAACTAGAAATCTTTAAGGATCCTCCTCACCCAAAGAGTCTACACTATAAACTTTATTTTTATTTCCTGGCTTATTCAACTTTCAGTTTCATCATCAATTATTAAAACAGAGCCATCAGGGACATAATCTTGTCCTCCTCAACCTCATTTCTTCCTACACTGCCCCTTACTTACTTTCCTCTAGCCACCCTGACCTTCTTGTAATTTTTCTAAAAAGCCAGACACAGTTCTGCCTCAGGGACTCTGCACTTGCTTTTTCCTCTCTCAGGAGGTTTTGCTTCACAGATACCCAAATGATTCACTACCTTACCTTTTTCAGGTCTCTGCTCAAATGTCATCATCTTGCTGAGGCCTTACCTAGTCTATTTTTAACATTGTAACCCTACCCACACTCTTTTGGCACTACTTAGCTAAATTTTTCTCACTCATAATAGTTACTATTATATATTTTTAAAATTTATTTATGTCTCTCTCCCCCTCAGCTAATATGGTAACCCTATATATGTAAGGAGGATCAAGTTTTTGTCTATATTGCTCAATATATTTTCTAGATTCCCAGTGCCTAGAACCATGCCTGACACAGAGTAAGCACTCAAAAAAATATTTCTTTAGGAAGTATTTGAATTGATCTTCCTACTAATGTTTTAAAAACTGTGCAAACCAATTTTGTCAAAGGTAAGGAAAAAAGCACTTATTAAACCATTCATTAAAAGAAAATACACAGAAGTTCCCAATATGTTTATTATGTATGCTGCGGATCAGAGGTGGGGAAAAAAGTCCCTGACCTCATGTACTATATGCATTCTAACAGAAGAGACAGAGTCAAGCAAATTAATACATAATGGCACGCAGCAATAAAAATAAAGTAGGGAAAGGGAAAAAAAGAGTGATGGATAGAGGAGCTACAATTGAGAAACTGATCAAGGAAGACCTCTCTGATGTAATACTTGAGCAGAGACCTGACAAAAACAAAGGATCACACCAGCAAGTATGTAGGGAAGAGCATTCCAGATAGAAGAAGCATGAACTTTTTGTTCACTATTAATAGTTGTCTAAATTGGCACAAACTTAAAGGAGAATAATTTGGAACTGATAAAAATGTTAAACATATATGCTCTTTTTTTTTTTCCTTTTTGTCTTTTTTTCGTGTCCGGCAACGGATCGCAACCCTCAGTGTCGCGCCCGTACCGGACCGGGACCGGCAACGGAATCGCAACCCTCAGTGTTGCACCCACACCTCGCTCAGCCAGTGAGCGGGAACCGGTCTGTATGTGGGATCCGAACCCTCGGCGGGAGCGCCGCCACACTCCCAAGCAGCGCACTGTAGCAGTGCGCCATCGGGCCGGCCCATCATATATGCTCTTTGATGCAGCTACCGCTATTCCATTTCTGGGAATCAATACTAGAAAAATCCACATAGTAATGCTCATACAAATTAAAACGTAAGGATGCCTACTATAGCAGTTCAATAGAAAAAAACTGGAAAACAACTAAAACACCTATCAACAGGGATATGAATAAATTATGCTACATCAAGCCAACAGAAAATGCCATGAGGCTCTTAAAAGGAAACTTAAGTACTGACAAATATACAAGACATACTGATAAGTGGATAAAGCAAATTGCATAATAATATGCATCACATAATTCCATTTTTTTAGGAGAAAAAAATTATAATGCATTCTTACTATATACAGACACATATACACATGCCATCTTTCCCAATGAGCACATCCACCAAATAGTTAACAATGGTATCTTTCATTCTTTATCATTTTATTCACCTTCCATAGCACTTGAATTTTTATAAAAGTTATTACTACTTTGGTACAAACAACTCTCTTTTTAAAGTATAATAATTTTGCCCCCATAAATTACCTCTTCAGGCAGAGCAGAATGGGGTTTGTCAGAAGTTGCAAGTAGTAAAACTGGAGCAAATGAAGGAATATTCTGTAATAATGTGGTAAATGTGGCTTTGAGTGTTGGTCCAACTATTTCCCACCACAAGTGGATATGTGGAACATACACTATACTTGGTGCTGTTCTCTTAGCTTCACGAATCATCTAGCAGAGGGGGAAAAAAATCATATTCAGTTAGAGAGTTGGCACATTAGTAATGCTAGTTCTATTAGTCTGAAACAATGTTTAACTTCCTGGAATTATCATATAAAACCCACAAGTTTTTAAAATGCTTTCCCCAAATCCCGCAACCTTGTTTTTAAGTGTTTCGCAAAAGTCTAATTTTTTAGAAAACATAACTACTTTAAGCAACTAGAAAACAGCTCAAGAAATCTAAAAGACTTTTTTGTTGTGGTAACCAAGGTTAAACAAAAAAATATAAAATACTTTACATAAAAAAATTAAATATAAACAATAGCAAAAACAGAAACCACAGAATATCTGAATGATTACTAAGGAGCAGTTACTATTTTGAGTACTTTACTCATCTAATTCTCACAACAGCCTTCTGGGGTAAATACTGTTATCATCTCCATTCTGCAAATGAGGAAAACGAGACAGAGAGATATAATAACTTTCCTAAGGTCACATAAACATTAAGTTATGGCCATGGGATTTAAACCCATATTCTTTAATAACTAAGCAATTCTGCATAGTTCCATCTTATAAACCTGAAGTTAGAAATCAGAAAGACAAAAAAACACAATGCAAAAAGAATGCAGCAATTCCAGATTTTGTCTCTGGAAGACTGCTTTGTCTTATAACTTATTTGTTTGGGCAACAATGAATTACCTGAGCACATGTTTCTTCAGGAGACGTAGCACTGACTCCAAAAAGAACAGGAATATCTAATGTATATACGGTAAACTTTTCCAAAGCATGGATGACAGCTGGTGCCAGGTGAGAACCCTGCCCAAATCCTGGTTCTCCCACTATCAATATTCTCGGTCGAAAAGACATAGGTTGGTAATAAGCATTTCTGAAAGAAATAATTAAGAACCTATGTTTAAAAAAAAAAAGTTTAAATGTTTTCCCCCAAGTTATCAATTTTGAACTTTCATAGGTCAAAAGTCTATATGGCCAGTCAATCATAATAACACGGTTCACACAGTTTCTGGAAACAACTGAGCCCCCATAGATTTTTTTTTTTTTTTTTTTTAAAACAACCGGGTGGTTCTCCCACTATCAATATTCTCGGTCGAAAAGACATAGGTTGGTAATAAGCATTTCTGAAAGAAATAATTAAGAACCTATGTTTAAAAAAAAAAAGTTTAAATGTTTTCCCCCAAGTTATCAATTTTGAACTTTCATAGGTCAAAAGTCTATATGGCCAGTCAATCATAATAACACGGTTCACACAGTTTCTGGAAACAACTGAGCCCCCATAGATTTTTTTTTTTTTTTTTTAAGACAACCGGTAAGGGGATCTTAAACCTTGGCTTGGTGTTGTCAGCACCACGCTCAGCCAGTAAGCAAACCAGCCATCCCTATATAGGATCCAAACCTGTGGCCTTGGTGTTATCAGCACTACACTCTCCTGAGTGAGCCACGGGCAGGCCCTCCCCATAGATTTTTAGGAATACTTTTTTTTTTGGTGGCTGGCCAGTATGGGGATTCAAATCCTTGACGTTAGTGACCCTTAGATCCAAACCCTTGGCCACATGCTCTAAATGAATATTTTATATAGTGAAATTTCTACTATAGTGACAACTGTAACAAAAAAATTTCTGATATTTTAACTTAAATAACAAGCAGATTAACTAGCATCTTTTATCTTTTCAACAACAAATTCATTTATTTTTAGCTATTTACACACCAAAAAAGTTCATTTGCAAGGAAAATATACCTATTCAAATGAAGAAAATTAAAATTTTCTTTTGCCTTATTAAAGGATTTCTGAGAAATTCCATTTTCATAAACTGATGGAACATCATCATCACTATATGCCAAGTCACTTTCTAGCAGAGGACAAGAAATATCTATAAAATAAAAAAATTATACATTATTAACTTTTTTGATTGCAATAATAAGTCTTCATGTAATGCTTCAGTTAGCAAATTGGCATAATTCAACGAAAAAAAAAATTTTTTTTTAAAAAGATGACCGGTAAGGGGATCTTAACCCTTGACTTGGTGTTGTCAGCACCACGCTCACCCAGTGAGCTAACCAGCCATCCCTATATGGGATCCGAACCCGTGGCCTTAGTGTTATCAGCACTGCACTCTACCGAGTGAGCCACGGGCCGGCCCCAACGAAAAAAAAAATTTTTTTTTTTTCTTTTTTCTAAAGATGACCTGTAAGGGGATCTCAACCCTTGACTTGGTGTTCTCAGCACCACGCTCAGCCAGTGAGCAAACCGGCCATCCATATATAGGATCCGAACCTGTGGCCTTGGTGTTATCAGCACCGCACTCTCCCGAGTGAGCCACAGGCCGGCCCTCCAACGAAAATTTTTTAAGCATCAAAATATTTGTGTAGATATGAGTAACAAAGTAAATATAAAAATGCATTCCAAACTTAAAAGAGATTAAGGGTAATCTGTGAAGTAAATTTCCTTCATGTATCTCAGGTTAAAGCACAGCCATTGTTTTTAAGATTCTTTTACAAAGAAACATTTCTGGGATATATAAAAACATGTTTCATTTTACTAATTATGAAAACGAATTTTAAATGGTCAATCAAGTTTTATACCTGAGTCTAATGCTTTATTTGTTCTGATTTTCGCATGTGGAAATACTTTGTACAGGGCTTCTAAGATCTTGTGAACAGTGCTTTGAAGGAGTGGTTTCACGATGGTGGACAAAGCCTGCCCAGGTGATGTTACAGCTCTTTGGGAGGCCGGTATCATCTTTTGCATAGCTACCTCAAAATCCTTAGCTGAGATATTAATTGAAGAGAGATCCAACTGTAGTTTCTCACTAGTTGTATAGATCTGTGGATAGCGTCGACGTAGAGCACATAAAGCAGCTTCAGAGCATATTGACTTAATATCTGCACCACAGTATCCTGTTCAAAGCACAGGAAAAAATGACCAAACAAACAAAAAAATCCTATTAGCATGACCATGCTTAAAAGAAAATTAAGTCAGCCTAGCAATATAGTAACAAAATATTTAGGAGTAATAAGACTAAAATCTCTCATTTATCCAGTAAACTTACATGGTAGCAATAACTAATAACAAATAAATCAACTTTTGTGAGTGAAATAAGCAAGCACTACATATAGCATAGGTGTCAAAAGCAAGAGTTTTAAAATCAGATAGACTATGTTCAAATTCCAGTTTGTCATTACCAGCTGTATGATCTTTTGAGAATCACTTACGCTCTCCAGCCATTTCTGCATCTCTAAAATGGAGATAATGCTACCTACTTCACAGGACTAACGTGAAAATTACATGAAATTATATATACATATATATATATATGTAAAAATGCTTAACAGGATGACTAGGAAAACGTAAACGATCAGTAGAGGAGAGCATTACTACCACCCACGTTTCTCTCAAATTCCCCCAATGGATGGCCAACTTGTCAAATGTCTCTATGTAATATGCATGACTTGTGAGAAGAAAACATGCCACAAATAAGAGCTGAGAAACACATATAACCATGTATTTCTTTAAACATAACCTTGCAAGACTACAACTTTTTCCATCTTTGAAATGAATATAATATTTCTCTTAACTGCTTAAAACAATATTTACCAACACAGTTTTCTGCTAGCTCTTCCAGAAATATGTCCAGTGGTTTGGGATTCCAATCTCTTGTGTGAATCTTTAGAATCTCTTTTCGTGCCTATGAATAAAAACGATTTTTTTACAACCATAAAAATACAGTGCTATTCAGATTAGAATGATTTCTTTTTTTTTCCCCCCTTTTTGTCTTTTTTACTGACCGGTAACGGGATCGCAACCCTCGGTGTCGTGCCCGCACCGCGCTCAGCCAGTGAGCGGGAACCGGTCTCCACATGGGATCCGAACCCTCAGCGGGAGCGCCGCCAAGCTCCCAAGCAGCGCACTCTCCAGTGCGCCACCGGGCCAGCCCAAGAATAATTTCAATTTAAAAACTTTTGCTTATCTAAAATTTAAAGTAATCAATACCTAATATAAACAGAAATATGAAACAGAAAATGAGAAAAAAAGATGTATTTGTAAGAGTTTTAAAAAACTTAGTTTCCGGGCCGGCCCAGTGGCGCACTGGAGAGTGCGCCGCTTGGGAGCACGGCGGCGCTCCCACTGAGGGTTTGGATCCCATGTGGAGACCGGTTCCTGCTCACTGGCTGAG